GGTCCCGGAAAGCTTTCTGCTGGTTCTTTATGTATTTTACTGTGGCATTGGTTTTTTTATTATTTTCTCTCCAGGGTTTCAGCAGCGGGAGGCGCAAGCTAGGCACACGAGGCGCGATTGTCCCCAGCGGATCTGCTCCGGCCGCGACCCCGAGGAGGCGCCGAGCACCGTCCCCCGCCGGGATCCCGCTCCGGGCTTTGCCGCTGACCACCGAGGCGGCCCTGCGGCCGGGGGCGGTGGGAAAGCCCGGACCGGAGTCCCTTCGCCCACGGCGTCCACGGAGCGGGTCCTGGCGCTGGTGGCCCGAAACACCCCCTTCCCCGCTCGCCCGGTGCAGCGGCTTCTTCCACAACGCCCAAATTTCTCTTTCAAAACCTGTAATTACTGCTCCCCTTGGCTCCCAGAAGACGTGCAGCCAACAACCCCAGATAAAAATACTCTTTTTTAATTTTCTTCTTTGCAATGCAACTGTCAGGAGATAACAGCCCACTTACACCAAACCCAGAGCAACTACAATTAATAGCATAAGATGTGTTAATGATGTCCTCAGATTTGTTTCAACGAGCAACGGACTAATTAGAGTCCATTATTCTAAAAATACTCCTACTGCATCTTATTTGATGGTAATTAGTTCTTCAGCTTTTTTTAAACAGCACCACAGCACATTTTTCTTTCAATAGCATAATGGAAGAGGGGTTTAGATGTTAGGATTTATTTCTTCCTTTTGAATTGGTCAGTTTGCATGGAATAACATATAATTTAATAAAACCGTCTTTAAGTGTGTTTCATAATGAATTAGGGATGTGTTTGTTCAAGTGGTTTGCATTCTAATTCATTTTCAATATATCAATGTTGGGGAAAATATCAGATAAAATTTCACTAGCGAATTTAAGTTGGATTTTCATTTTAACCAAAGCAATAAGCACTTAAAAGGAGGAGAAAAATATGAGAGCATGAGTTTCCATGGGGTAATGCTCAACAGGAGGTGCTGGAGAGCCCCATAGGAACATGACCAATATCAGCAGTGTGTGAGGGCAGGCAAGGAACTCTCGCTTAATCTGGACATTTCCCTGCCAATTAAATTCTTGTGGATTTAGTACAATGCAAGTCACCACACATCAGGGCTCCGATGATGTAATTTAGTTCCTCCAAATCAGTGCAGGGACAGTGGACAAACAGGCTGCTTTGAAAGACACAAATTAATCTTAATGCATTCAGAGTATGACAGTATTGACCAAAGATTTGTCATTTGTACCTTTGAGGGCAATAGACTGTTTTGCTTCTGAACATTCAACACATTTTTTTTAAAAAATGTTTTATTATTTTCGTGTTGCTATATACTGATATAAGCAGCACAGATTTTGAAAACAAGACTGCTAAAAAGCTTTACACAAATTGTCAGAAACACCAGTCTAACACCTTTCCTAGCAAAAAGCCATCTTCTTTACAGCAAGAGAAGGCTGAAAGAAAATATATGTGTATATATATATATAAAACACAAAACAACCAGACTGAAAACATGCATGGTGTGGATGGATATTAATTTCAAAGTGAAACTGAAGTCATGGAAGAGACATGGACGTTCAGTATGGCATAAGCTTTGTGTGGAAACCTGTTCCAAATGCCCTTCCAAAGAAGGGTAAACAGGTCCTTCACGCTGATTTCCTGCTTATCTGTCAGCAGGCAGTACTGTTAGTCTTGGGACACAGTGGCATTCATTTCATAGGGTTCACCAAGACAGACTCAGACTGAAAACAACCAGGAAGGCAAAGCCAGGCAATGAGAGTCTTCTTCTAGTTCTGGGGTCAAGACCCCAGAGGTTGATCTCACTTTTTCAAGATAGTGCTTAGTGCTTCAGAAAAAAACAAACTAAAGACTTTAATCTTAGTGTTCACACTATTCATAGCTGAAAATTGTACCTAAGCTCTTAGATCTGTCTACTGGGAATTAAGTGAGACGCTTGTATAAAACTGGGAGCACCACCAGCTGAAATTGATCTTTATGCAGAGCTTTTCAGATGCCTTCCATCACACAGAGAAGTGTTATTTCATTTTTCTACCAGCTCTCAACCTGTTGAACAACCTACAGAGGGATTAAAAGATTTAATTGTAACTTTATTCATAACAGTCTAAGGCCAAGAAACAGAGGGTAAACATTTTTATTAAACAGTTATTATAATTTATCTAGATTGGCATTGTTATATATTTGTACTTACACAAATTCAGGTTTTAGGGTTTTTTTTTAATAAAGTTTCTGTTAGCTGCTGAAATCATTCACCACAACTAAGAAACCCATGAAGACACTGCTAGTACTAGAAAACAAAATACATATCTGCGTATCCAGGCACACTTTAAAATTCTGTACCTTAAAGCATAGCGTTGCTTGAAACACTTAAAAGAATTCAAAAATGCTCACTGTCAGAGAAGAAATACATTTTACTTCAACACTTCCAAATGTACACATCTGACATTACTAAAGGTTCCCTGTATTAAAAAAATAAATTGTAATTTTCCATTCTTCATCAGACCAGATAGTTTTTGTTGAATCATTTTCTGCCTTTTTTGCCTACACAGCTGAGTCCACAGCCTGTTTAGAATAAAATATGCTGTAATGAAACAGAAAGACTTCTGAACCCTGCTTCAAATATTAGCGTGTTTAAGTGTTCAGCTAGCTTTTCGGGGGGCTATTTTCTCATTAATCCAGTTTACATAGTTTGTCATTCGTGTATATACTCCAGGTTTGTTGACTCTGCCACAGCCATCTCCCCAGCTGATAACTCCATAGAGGTAGGAGATTTCATTTTTCTCACAGGCCAGAGGTCCACCGGAATCACCCTGTGTTAAAAGTAAAGACGTATTATCTGATCTGATAGAAAGCAGTCAGAAAAAAAGATCAGTTTGGGAAAGTCCTAAAATTATGAATGTTTTCATGTGAGATTTAAACTAAAAAAAAAAATAAAGGAAGCAGTGGTCTACTGAAGTTTATTGTAGAAAACTTTTGTTAGCCATACCTCTAATATGATGAGGTTTTTTTAATTCCACATTGAACAGTAGTATCAAATACTAGATTTCATTTAGAAAAACTGAAATTCTTTTAGATTCAGACACCTACTGAAGAGCACGGTTGATTTGGGCCATCTCCACTGGGAGTAAGCAAGTCTTTGAGGCTTACGCTATGTTGGAATATGGGCTCTGCACGAATGGTTTACATAAGGCAGAGAATATTTGGAGAGTTTCTCAGTGCAGTTTATTGCAACTGTCAAAGATCATGAAAGCTTTCAAAGAAACTTTCCATGTGACTGTGGGATGCTGTAATTTTATGTGGCATATGGGTTTTTTGCATCTGTTGAATTCGATGCTACTGAGAATTTACCTTGTCATGAAAACCATAAACCAAAAATAAAATCAAACTAATGTTTGATGACACACTGCAGCAAGGATGAATTTGGAACATTTCTACTTAAAAGCTTGCAAGTATTCAGTAAAGCGGTTTTTATTATTATTAACCTTAGATTCACTTTCTACAGAAATGAAAAGGAAAATGTGACTTAAACAGTACTGGTGAAAGGAGCCACCACTCGAGTTATTTATGACTAAGGAGAAATATATTTTTTCCTATTTAAAAAGAAAATCCCTTGAGAGCAAAGTAGGTAGGAGAATTCTGTGATAAATGAGGGACATCAAATGAAGTCTTGTATCTGAGATCAATTTACTTCTCAAAACTTCAGTATCAGTGCGCTAACGAAAAAAATTTTCAAGAAAATCTTGACAAAAAAGTCAAGCAGAGCACATTATCTACTTGGTGTTTCTTGATCTTGAAATATTTTTATACATAACAGATGGTTTATAGTTTAATTTCCTAAGCATGCATTGAGAAAGTACAGAGGACAGCTGCATTTGTTGTGACATTAAGAGGTCTACACTATTTCTCCTTAGATCACACTACAAGTCTGCCAACAGGAAGAAAATAATTTAATTATTGATTCACTAATAATAATTTCATGTCATGAGCACTGTTCTTCAGCAACATCCGTGACTCTAAATCACTGTTCCTCAGACTCTGTAACTCTCTCCAGACCACTTGTCTCTGTGCACCTCCTCTGTCCTTCCCTCCACTTTCTTCTTCCTCCCTGTCATTCCTGACCAACCCTGTTTTTCCACAGCAGGGAGTGAGAACAAGCCATAATGCTGCATCTTGTATTTGTATTTCCTGGGTAAGGCAAGGCAAACTGAGCGAGCAAGGTAGTTTCTAGCTCTCTGGCCAGGATGAACACTTGAGGCCAATAACTACAAACAGTTCTCAGCCCTGGTCTGGAAACACTGAGCCACTACTGCCATTTCATTCTTGACACCTTTCTTTGGACATGTTTATGATTACTTTAGGGGTTCTAGCACACCATATACTTTATATTCTTTGCTGTACTTAATCTCACTGCCAACTATTAGCGGTGTGCTGCCTGATCCCAAATTTATGCTAATAGAGTGTAACCCTCCTCCCTCAAAATGAAGTGAGGATAAAATCTGAAAGTTTATATAAGGAATAATCCAATGCTTCATTTAATAATAGTCTTATCTACCACCACAACAATTCTGCACCCTTATTCAGAGCCAGGGTGTGACTTAACTCAAAAAGGGATGCAAAGCAGTAAGAGTATGAGGTCATTCCATGAAGGACTGAAGTAATGAAGCACAGTTTTCAATCGAGTGATATTCTACACCATTAAATCCCATTCACTGTAGTAACCTCAGCTCCTTCCCCCTCCGAACCTCACGACTGCTCCCCACCTCCTGCCTAGATAACCTTATTTCTATTCAGGCAAGGGGCAGCAGCTTGGGAATTTGGCTGTGCCCAGGTACGTGCTGGTTGCCCTGCCCTGCCATCTGGCCAGCCACCACATTGCCACCACACTGCGGGCTCAGCCAGGAGCTAAAGCAACTCCCCTGCCAGTGCACAGCCACTGCCTTTAATGATGGTAGGAGGAATACAGCACCCTGGAGGATTTTTTGGCTTTCTGTAGAACTTAATTGTCATTGAACAGGTTAAAAAAATAAAGGTGGAAGCAAGCAGTGCAGTCACATAAGTGTCTTTCCTTTAGGAGCACTGCAATGTCAAAAGTGAGCACTGTAACACTGCAACATTTCTGGCAATAATATACATTTACATTCTTTGCCTAGAGATGACTCACATTACCTGACAAGCATCAGATTTGCTATCAAAGTAGCCAGCACAGAACATATTTTCAGTGATTTCTGTTCCATAAATTTCAGGACTTCTGCACTTCTCCTCAGAAATAATTGGAATCAGTGTTTCTTGCAAGACGTTTGAATAACCAGATATATCTTTAAAAAATTCCCAGAGAGAAAAAGAAAATAATTTTTATAGAATGTGAAGAGTGTAACATGGAAACACAATGCACAGTACAACATATAAACACATTTAACTCATCTGAGTCATATTCCTGTTGTGGATCTCTTAAAGAGATAAAGATTTTTCTAGTGATCAGATCACTTTCTGCTCCTCCAGTCAGACTCCGTGCCTTTTAAAATAACAGCATGCTACATCCAGACGTTAATCCACTTTGAGTTCTTTCATCTCCTAGAGACTCAGAAACACTCCACCAGCACTCCTGTCCTCTCTTCTTTCCAGATGTGATATTAAATCATCAGTTTATCAAAGTCTCTAGTCTCTTTTTGCCTTTAGACTACACATTTAGACCAGGGCAATATTTGCCAATACCAAGTCTCTTACCAAAATGAGGCAGTCAGCTCCCCCATCCTTCTCATCTATCTACATGGGTCTCTGCTGTCACCACATCAAAGCTGCATGGCCAAGCCTCATAATTCCTTATCTGAAAGGGTGGGATGGATTTTTCCACCTTTACCAAGCCAGATGTAAGCATTTCATAGCCCAAAGTCTATCTGGCACTCTCCTGTATATGTTTTCCAAGGTGAAGGTGAAGGTAAAGATCTCCTCCACCGCAGACTAATGAGTTGATCGTGTTTGGTTTGCAGTCTTTGATACCTACCTTGAGAAACCAGGGGTAGGAGTCACTCAGCTAAGCTGTCAAGCTGTTGGCACCCACAGCTAAGCTACTTGCTCCCCTCCCAGTGCACAGAGATCTGGTTGGCTCACAGCTCAACTCATCCTAAACCAGACGCAAAGATTTGGTCAAGGGGCCCACCCTCCAAATTCCAAGGACTATAAATGAAGTTCAGGTTTGTTATTTCCAAAGAAATGTTGTAAACATCTAAAAAAAGGTAAAAAGAATCCCACTAGAAGTCCCTTGGAAAATATTTTGCCAATCTGTCAGTTGTATAACATATACTTGAGCACCATGTTTTAATTATCATAATTTTTTTCTACAGACACCAAACTCTCACTTTACTCACTCTCATGTCTGTGTCCCCATCCAGAAATCTGACATTTGAACTGATCAGGGAAAACGGTGTCACTTTCTGGCAAGCAGATGGGCTGAACAAACTGAGACTTGATGGCACAACGTTGGCCATTCTTCTTCAGCTTAATCAAAGCTGCAGAACAGAAAATACAGGAACAATAAAGTGACTGTTCCCTTTCTCTAGTGGGATTGGCAGCAATGGGTCTCAGATACAACTTTAATTATCCCCTAAGCTTCTCTAATTAAGATATTTCAATCAAAGACAGACAGACTCATCTCAACAGCACCTGATTTCACAGAAAATTGAAGGCTGAAACATTCAGCTACTCCCTTTGTGGGAATATTTATTTTATGCTGCACTCACTGAGCTCATTTTTCTTCACTGCCTTTGTGTAGAAGGGGAGAGATAGAAAACACGTGTGTCTCCTCCCACCAAAAAGTTAAATAACAGTGACATTTCCACAACTTTCAGCTGAAATAAGTGGGATGTGCAAGTGCTCACTGCTTCTGAAAGTCTGGCCACTTGTCTAATTCCAATTTGATTTAAAAAATTAATTACAACAAGGGCTGATGTACTTTGCACTGTGTTATCACTGAGTTCAGCAAAATTCAAGATCTTGAAAATTAAGGAATTAAAAAAATCAGTATATTCCAAAACAAAGCTTCTGAAAGCTACAAAGAATTATACAATCTACTCAACCTTTACTATCCCCTCATGGGGTCAAAAACTGTAAACACAGAGCTGTGTGGCATCAGGAGCTTGATACCGACAGAACATGTCACGTTTCTCTGTAGGAACCCCCTGTGTTTGGCTGTAGAGCAACAGGAGAGGCTTTGTGCTTGGTGTAACCAGGGCAGCATGTTGGGTCTGGGCACACTACTCAAAGAGCTGAAGTAACATAGACACACTAATTAAAGCTTCACATCACACCTTTTGGAAGCTCCAGGTTTTCTGAGCACAGCTCTGTGGAAAGCAAGAGGTCATACTGGATACTGTTATTTCTCGGCTGACTACATTTTTTGGCCTTTGTGGAACATCTTAGGAGTACCTTGCAGGCTGAGAAGCCCACACAAACCATGCTCCAACACTCTGCAACATGCTCTTCCTTGCCTTCCTCCTCTTCCCCACCAACTCTGCCTGTTTCTGAACCCCTCAAACTTCCCAGCAAACACTCATGTGGTAGTTTGCTTCCATTAGAAAAGTGTTTTCAGCAGAGAATTACTCTTCTGCCACATCAGTAGAAATCACTGACAGGACAGAATGTGTCTCCAAATGCTTCCTCCCCAGTTTCTACGCACTTGTTTGTTTGCAGTGGGGCATGTCTTAGAAACTCCCTGTTCAGCTGACCCTAGATTAGGACATTGCACAACAGCAAGGCATGTCAAATTTCAGAGTAAATAAAAAAGCTAGGAGATCTCAAGCAGGGGTTCACACCAGTATATTTCAGAGCAGAGTGATACTCCATATCTAGTTTGTCTCCTGGTATGCTGTGACAGAGCTCCCATCAACACAGAATCTGAATGCTTTTTGCTAAATAGTGGAAAATATTCCCTGTCTGGGAGCAAAAAAGCCAGTACATGCCTGACCTAAAATATACCCAGTCCCAGGGTATTAAATATTCTCATAGACAATGTGCTCACACAGCTTGATAGCCCAGGGTGACGTGCCACCTTCTGCAAGAACAGAGCAGAAAATAAGCAGCAAGTTGCCGCTCTATTGTCATTCTGACTCATATTATAAGGTCAATCAGGAGGGCATTTAACTTTTGACAGCTGATTTTTAAACCTATCTCAGTGTACAAAATGATTCTTAGTAACATAGATTTTCAGAGCAGATGGGGCTATTATATTCATCTAGTCAGATCCTCTATACAACATAGACAATAGAATTTTACCAAGTAATTCCTGCATCAAGCCCACAGTTTTTGGTTCAGTTGAAAAAAATGCCTAATCTCACAAAGAACTGAAGTGATGATGAATCTGCCATACATTTAGGTAAATTGTTCCGAAGGCTAATTATCATAATTATTTAAAATTTGCAATTTATTGCTCATCTGAATTTGTCTAGCTTTCAGATGCTTGTTATAACTCTGGTAGAACTAAGAACCCTCTGCATTTAAAAGCTTCTCCTAATGCCTATGATTTTTTCTCCTATGAAGGCAGTTTTTGACAGATCAGCTCAACTCAAAACTAACCAGAGTAAACAGAAAATAAAACCGGAAGAACAAAAGTACTCACCAATATCATGTTCAGTAGGGTTGAACACAGAATACTGGGGATGCAAGATGTATTTCTCTATTTCAAATGTTTGTGTTACGGCAGTTGTTCTATTAAATAGATGCTGACCCAGAACTACTGTAATAGTTGATTTTAGAGGACTGTAATACAAAAGAAAGAAGCAGCAATTTTGTGATTAGCAAGTCAAACAAAACCTAATTTCTAATAGCTGTGTGTCCCATGAACCATAGTAACCTCAGCACCCCACCATGTCCATTATTCACCCTCTCATAATGATTTGACCTGCTCCCCAGGCTTCCTACCTCCTGTGGACCAGGAAAAAGATGACTAATGTTACAGCAAGTCTCAGGCTCTGTGGCCCCTGATTACCCTTATTAAAGGCTGCTGCTCCTTCACAGAAGTAAAAGGCAAGCACCTGCATTGCTGCCCAGCTGCTGTCTGGTTAACAAGCATCTTCAGGGGCTGCATGCACTTCTTGTTCTAGAAACTTAACCAAGTCAAGTTTGACCAGACTTTGACAATTAGTACAAAAATTACTGAGGAAGAAATAAGGGAACAACAGATGAGTCAGTGGTGGATATCTCATTTCTCTGGGCAACCAGGCTCTTAAAAATATTACAGGGATGGGTCAAGGTTTCAAAGGTGCTGACAAACTGACAACTCAGGAACATCTGGGCAGCTTCTGCCCAAAAGCTATCACCACTTCTGCTCTGAGATTAGATGGAAATGTATTAAATCTGTTGTCTAGAATCAAAAGCAACTTGGTGGAGGAATTTCTCAACAAAACATGGATCTAATGGGAAAAACCACACTCAGAGGAGAATGTAGTTTTTGTAGTTCACATCTTTTACAGCCACTGATTGTTTACTTTGAAAAGACCATAGTCCTCTCATATCCAGTGTCCTGGAACAGACAACTAATAAGCACCAGTATAACAGTTGGGATGAAGGGCATACTTAGGAACAATCAAGAAGTGTTTGGAAAGACAGTAAATTCTCTAGCTTTGAAAGCAGCAATATTGAAATGTCACTCTTGTTTTAATACCAGTTCGATCTGTGTGTGCGTAAGTCTACAATGAACTCAGCTAGCGAGCATCTCCAACATCAGAGCACTCATATATTTTGTTATCAGTGCAGGAGCAGAAAATTGCAGAAAGCACAAGGTTTATCTTCCTGTGACTGGAAAACAAGAAGAAAATAAGGTATTCTTCAACTGATATGTAAGACCAGGCTTTTCTCATTGTTCTTGCAGTGGTAATCCAACCCCCTTGAAAATCAGATTTTGGGCCTGTAAAACAGAGTGGAGGTTTGCTTCCCAGGACAGTATGTAGAATAGATTTTAAAGCTCTGAATGGTTCTGCAATTACTTACAGGTGGTTCATTGAGGGAAAGGGAAAAAACAGAAGGGGTTACAGAAAAGGGAAAAAAAGCAACCAACAAACCCACAAAAAGACAAGTTAGCTGCACAGATATCTATTGTCGCCTAGCGGAAAACAGTTGAAATTGTGGCTATCTCAGAGGTACTAAACATACAGAAGGGCAGAAATTACAATACAGCAATTATGGAAAAACTGTATGTACCAAACCACCAGCTGGAAGTGGGTGGAAATGTCCTGAATAGCTGCCAAAGTTAGTAGCTATTTCACAACATTTGAAACACAAACACGTTGTGGTTTGAGCTCCAAAAGCTTCGGTGCAGCATTCACAATGGTATTATTAGCTCTAAAGCTATCAGTGTATGTATTCTGGCACAAGGTTTTCTGTTTCTCTTGGCTTCTTTACTATGCAAAGGAACAATAGGGATAAAATGATGTAATATTTCTCCCATCAATGTAATCAAAATGAAATCTGGGAAAGTGTTCAGCATTTGTAGAAAATTAAATATTTAGAATAAATTAAGAGTATCCTGTTGTCAATATCTTCTTCGGTGTCCCACAGCTGGACAAAAAACCTCCAAAAATCCCAAAACACCTGTCAAGGAAATCAGCCTCAAAAATTTAACAGTTCGGATCTTCCTTTTGGCTTTTTGTAAAGCTCAGCCCGCTCTATTTGTCAGCCAATGGTAATTTATTGTCTCTAATAAATCACTGCTTGGCTGTCTCAGCCTTTTTGAACAAAACACAGCAGGGAGCATAGTCATTTCTGTAACATCTCAAAGAAGGCATAAATGTTCAAAAAGTTAAATACTTATATGCCTGCACATGCAAGTTTCCATTCTATGTCCTGCTCAGCACTACCTTATTCCTTCACTTAGGCCATTTAGCTTCTTTGAGACTTCTTAAGGAATAAGATAAGAGCTTATGAGATGATAGGACTCCAAGCTATTTGTTAGCTCGTGAACTGCATTCAAATTGCCAGAAACTCCTTTTGAAATTTTGGCCTTTCCTAATCTGATTTTCTATCTTGCTTGTTTCAGTTGAGATTTGTGGTGAGTCACAACCAGACAGTGACTATGAAGAGCAGAGGACCTACTGTCAAACTAACGTGCGAGTTTACCTGTTAGCAAAGCAGTGTGCCGCTGACACAACCCAGCAAGTCTGAATAAGGCTTCCACCACAGAAACTCTCTCCAATATATATAGCTGCTGTCCAAGGATGAGATCCAGGCAGAGATGAAGATCCCCCAACAATCCTAGGTCTCACAAAACTTCTTTTTTTGTGTCTTCTCCCACATGGTCTTCTGGTAACTGCAAAACTATCTGCATTGTCTGGGACGGGTGGCCTCCTTTCCCTGCTTGCTGAGATATAGAAAGATATGGCATCAGACTATAAATCCTTGAGCTTTCTAAGGACTGGGACTTTTATAGGAGTTTTAAAAATAAAGATTTATTAAATTATCAAAAACATTCACATACAAATCATTCAGTTCCTCAGGAGACTTGCAAGACTGAAAGCTATGCTTATTCCCAACACTGTCTTATTCCCAACACATGTACTAGTGTAAATAAAATCCACTTGTGCACATTCCCAAACATTGTTTCATTTTCCAGTACAAATATAACCTTCACTACTGGAAGAGGCACAACAGAATGCGTGATACATCACATCTTCATTTTTGGATTCTGGACTGAGCTTTGCCATTGCAATAGCAAGGATTGGGACGCTTGTGTTAGTAACATCTATCAAATGTGTTAGAACCATAAAAGAGAAACAAAAGAACCACTTTATAAACTGACTTCAGATTTTAACATTGCAACTCTGTTCTAAAGGTCATCTTCAACATTAACAACAGTTAAGTATTTTTTTAGGGCTAGAGCAGAATCTTTAGTTTTCAGAATTAAATACTACATCTCACATCTTCAGGATCCAGTCTTCTATTTGCTCACAGAGACCAATTCACTTCTCTGGGCCTGTAATTCTCTGAGTGATGACAATTTGTACCAAAGCATCAATCATTTCTGATGTCTTGCATGTTCTGGCAGAAAATTTTATAATATCTGGGTGATTTTGACGGAAAGCAGTAGTCTGACATTGCTGTTATAGAGCATTTCAGGACAAAAATCACAGATTGTGTCACAACTCCAAAAAACGTAAAAGAAGCTTCTTGTTGTCATTTGATTTACTGCAAACAGTAAAATATTCAACATTCCTGGGAACAGTAGAACAGTCAGAATTACACACTGAAAGCTTGTTCTGGTATCAATAAATCTTTCTTCATTCATTCATAACATGGATTTTTAAAGAATCTTTACATACCACAAGATGGAATATCACAATACTCCCAAGACAAACTGTTGTCCTTCATGATGTAACACCACGGCTTATCATCATCATCTGGATTTCTAATTAATTCAAGGGGAAAATTGAATTACAAACATTAACAACAGCATTGTTTCAAACTTCCCAGAGGTTTTCTGCTTTTTCCTTTTGCACCACACAGAGGACTGACAGGACTCTCAGATTTTGAACCACCTGACAAAGTGCTGAAGCATTTGCTAACCCCTAAATGGGTGAGCAGCCTTTCGGTAGCATTCTTCAGTCTTGAAGCTAACCAAGTCTAAGATTCTCTAGGACCTGAAATACAGACACATGACTAACACCTGTAAAATTTGCCTACAAGTATTTGGATTCATGAGCATGTTCACATGGTTTAAATACAGCCCACACTAAAGTGCTTTAACAGATATGAGCTCAGCTGTTTTCAGGACTAAATCCCATGGGAGAGATTCCTTTTTTAGATTATTTTTTTTAAGCAAGGAAATTCCAACACAGGTAGCTTCATAGGAAATCCGTAACAAGAATAGCTAGCAAAAACGAATTTGAGAAGCTTAGGTTGGCATTCCCTGGAGAGTCTGAGGAAATGAAAGACTACCTCAACAAAATACTATATTCTTCAAAAGGAGAAGAAAAAAAAAACAATAGCATAAACCATTTAGCCCTTTGTTACCTTGGTGTTAAGCAGGCTTTGGTTTGATACCGTGAGAGTTTCTCCATGGTACCCCCTAATTGTCTTTATGAACGCCATATAAGTAACCAGAAATTTGCCCAGTTTCCTCCTCCAAGAATAAAGGGAAACTTTGAAGAGCCAGAAAGTTCTTCAGTAGGCCAACAAAAATAGACAAGCTAATTCAAGGCTCCAGATAAACAGTAATTCTAATTTCAGTTGGATTTATCAGAAGCCCTGTCTATTATTGCAAGGTTCTTCAACAATTTTTTCTTTTTAATCTGATTGCTCTTCAGAAAAAGATTAAAGCACTTTCAGATTCTCACAACTGAAGAAGCAACACAGGTTGAGTCATCATCTGCCAACAATGTTTCTAAATTAGACTATTTGAAGAAGAAGATATCTGCAGGATTATATAGTACAGCAGAGATATCCCCAGAAATTGTAACAAGCTGACAAAAAAGTGAAAAGCTTTTTTCTCAGCTCTACAGAACATGAACACATCAGCTCCTACACCATTTTATTCTTTGCATTTCAAATCTGCAAGTGAATATTGTGCTCAAATGATGCAAATCGAAGGAATCAAGTTTTATCAAACCATAAAATATGTGCCTGATAAATTGTCGTGCTGTGCTGGGACACCATAAATCTCATACTCAAGTGCTTGAATCAGGTCCAAGCCTTGGAAAGAAAGCCCACTGGGGCTAAGGAAGGGTGCAGGAACTGTTTATTATTAGTTTGTGTTAGGTACAGAAGAGGAGCTACTTTCAGCATGCATGCAGAATTTTTATCATCATACAAATTAGGAAGTGCAGTACATTTCGATTTTCCTGAAATACTGGTTTAATTTACAGGCAAGGAAAAAAAAAAGACATCATCCTATAATTTATGAAGAAGCACATGAAGTTTGCCATTTCTAGGATTTGCTCATCTCCAAGATGAAATTGAAATATTTCATTTATTTGTGGATATCCATTGATCTCATGAAGACCTCAGAGACAATGGGAACATAAAGTGACTGAGAAGAAAACACAAACCTGTGTATCACAAACTATTATTTTCATCATAGCTGAACAGAAAACTTTAGCAGAAATGTAGTTTATTGTATGTGAGGTTCTATGAAAATTGAAACACTGGGAAATCTTACTTTGAGATAAATTTGCTTTGGAAGAAATTGAGGAAAGAAATTTGACATCCTATTTCAACTTCATTGAAGTATATTGCTTTGATTCTTCATTTTCAAATAACTTTTCACTTTTGAAAATATTTCCCTTTATGTTCTGTATTTCAGCATTTAAGAATTAGAAATAAAAAGTTACCTGTTTTGACTTGGCTATTCGTTATTTATGAATCCAGGGGAAAAGAGAACTTTTCTCACCTGCAGTAAGAGAAGGGCCCCAAGCCCAGCTCTATGGCTTTCTCCACACTGTCTACATGAAGCTCTTGGTAAAGCAAGTCTGAATTCCAGGGCAAGCAGCTGTGTCCAGAAATGGTCGTCTTTGCTGTACCTCTGTACTCTGTGCCATTACCAACATAGCACCGATGTCTAGGAACTGGCAAAGGATAAGACACTGGTCAGGAATCAGTGCTAATTACGTGTTAAATACTTACTCCACAGCTGAGGTCCCAAATAAGAGCCAGTGGGCCCAATTCTGTATAGCACCTTTCACTGGAATTTGTTGCATCAAGAGAGGATTTTTTTTTTAATCAAAAAAACCACAAGCAGTTAAAACTTTGGTTTACAATTAGTAGTGACTTATCCTCATTTTACACATGCACAAATAACTATTCAACAGGGAGTATGGCAGAGAATTAGACCTGAAATTTGTACTGCATATGGAAGATTTTAGTCAGCAATCTGCAGCAATATGGCTGGGATACCTCCTGCCTAATTTTAGACACAACTGAGCTCATCACTGGAGACTCCCTTTTCAGTCAATTAGGAGAAACAGGCATTTCTGGCACCAAACTGATCCAGCTTGTTTGAGGTAACTTTTTAAAGATGAGATTAATCTTGCCATACACTCTTGACTGTATTGACAATAAAGAGAACTTAATCAGCTCAGATAGAGATATTTGTGCTGTAAGGTAGTGAAAACAATCCTGTGCTTCCAGCAAGTGCTTAAAAGGCCTGATTTTCTAAAATATTTCTTTTTTTATATATAACTACACTATACCCACATACATTTTATATAGTTATATAGCTACATATTGCAAATATATAAATTCCACAAAAATTTAACTAGTAGGTTGAATTTTCTTATTCAAACCCCATTTCTTTGTCATCTGCACATGGGTTATTTCTTCAGAGAAGTCTGGCATATACATATTCTATGACCTGTATACTCAGCTGCCAAGATCAATCAGCAGCGCATACCAGCATTATGGCTGAAAAACATATGGAGATGCATTTGTATACAAATAGCTACACTGAGCAGAAAGTCTACACCTTCTTAAAACACAGCTCAGAGTATCCCAAAGGAAACACAAAACCATCTAATGTACAAAGGATTAGTCGTGACCGAGCCAAAGAGGTTTCTTATCCCAGCCATGTCAGTGCGACTTATCCTTGACATCTGCAAGACTGGTGGAACCTTCTTCTAAACTTATGAACATACTTAAATACATAACATCGTGGTATTTATTGACTGTTGAAAAACACACTGCAAGAATGATCTATCATACCACGCAGTGTCGACAGCTATTGCCAAAGATCTGTTTATTTTGACAGAATAAGGCGACACATGAACCGGGGCATATAACCAGCACAACAATGAACTGCTGATGTCAATTATCCTTCCAAGTCACCAGTGCAGCAACAGACCTCAAAACCACAAGGAAGCATATGGCATAAATCTGGGAGCTGGAGGTCAAGAAGTTTGGAGCAAGAACTTCGGTGTGAGTTAGCATACTTAGCAAAACTGGCTTTCTAGCTTGGCCTGGCAAACACTTCTGAGATGGTGACAACACTTTCTCCCACCCACCCCCTGAATCAAATTCCCTTTATTTCAATAACTATGAACATAACATTAAATCAAGCTCATATTGTTGCAAACATAATCTAGGAGCTCACAGAAAATAATTTGTCTATCATTTGTGTTGCTAGCAATAGTAACCATTTCTTGGCAGCCCTGCCATTTGTTTTCTGGGCAAGTTGCAAGTTACGCTGCTCTGTTTGCCTGAAACAGTACCATGAAAATACCACCATCACGCTGCGTGCTGAATTCTTTCATTTATCTAGGGAAGTGCCAGGTGCTGTTTTTGTTTGTACTGTATTTATTACATTCAGAAACGATTTAGAGTTGACTATGTTTATGAGGGTTAAACAAGAGATTCTTTTCAGTGCAGCACCAGGGACATATTTGCAATACCAATGGTTTGGACATCTTGCAGATGGTGTTTACTAGTTGTGTTCATCTTTGTCAGGTTTAAAATCCAATGCATCTCTGTTTCTTCAGGTCTGCCAGTCATTACTAAGGCTGCCAGAAAAATTTAACTAGAAAAATTTGGCCTCTTTCTAAATCATCCCTCATGTTCTTCTCCTGTAACTAAGAAGTTTGGATTGTTTATTACATTTGTTGAGAGAAAAAGTAATATCAGGCATTTTTTTGTTTCCTTTTTGTTTCATAAGGAGTATTTCGGGTACAGGAGTAAAGTGACTTAATCTCCTATCTTGTGCAGAAGCATCTAGGTTAACACACATTTTCATTAGTAACTTTCCATCGGTCTATTCTCCACTCCAGCAAACTTTATTTGACTGGCTTGCAGTAGCCAGTACCACCGTACCAATATCACTGCTCATTAAAGGGCACTTCATTGTGTATCTAAGGCCGTTAAGAAGTATATGCAAAGCCTAATACGTTTAATCACCTATAATTCAGGACAAACAATTGCAGCTATTGCAATTGTATAGAACTTTCACTTCAAATACTTTTTTTTGAACTGTTACAGCACTGAAAATAATGTCTTTTTCCCTCTTTGTCAGAAACAGTGTGTAGGTGGTCCACTTAGCAGCTCCTAATGGATGCTCTGACTGGGAATTGTTCGTTCTCAATTCTTTATAGTTTCTGCAGCTTCTCATAACTCTGAAACATATTTATTTTCTTATGTGGAAGAAAGTAATGGAGGGCATAATATATATTTTTTTCTTGTTCATTCATTTCCCTGCAATACTGTCAATCACTGTGTTAAGAGTAGAAATGACCTAAACTTTCAGATTATGAAAATTCTGATGCAAATGCAGATTCAAGTTATTTTGCAGACCTATGCCACTATCAGGACTGTTAGTTTCTTTTCAGAAAAAAAAAGTCATTACAATTTAAAACTAGAAATAATTTCCTGTTATGTTTTATTTTTGAAATCCCAGAGGTTTAAATAGCTCACGTAAAACATTCTAGTTGTGTTAGGATGGCATATTTTATCAGCATGTCACGCCAATTCTTTACCTCTTAATTCTCCAGTAATGAGCAATTTCAGGTCTTAAAATTAAAAGCAACCTGAAATAGCAGTTATCCAATCAGTTCTAATTGCTAACTTCCTGAAAACATTTCTTAAGACTTTTAGTCACCAATTCTTGTTTCAGGTTCTGTATTTACATACCTGAACATTTTTATGAGTTTCTTCTGGAAATATTTCTGTAGAAAATGATGTATCTTTCAGATTTTCTTTCCCCCAAAACATCTCATCAGCAATGTTCATAATGCTCTTGAGCTTTGACTGTATGTTACTTCCAGATATGCATAAAGTGTTTCATACCATTAATAAAAATACATTTTCCCCCTGATAGTCTTAATTCTGGGATAGAACAGTTTGAAGTAAATCTGTCATTCAGTAATGCTTTGTTTTATCCCTGACCAACCTCCAATGCTTTTATTAAATACAATGTTAGATTAATTTCTATATCAGCTGATGGCAGGAAGGGAGTGGAGGGAAGAAGAGAAGGACAAAAGTCCACTCTCTGTTTATAATTGCCTTTACAAGAGGTCTTCTCCAGTGTCTTAATTATCAGTTATCCAGATGGAAGAGCTCTTCAGCAAATCATAAGCTAAAGTGAACCCTTGGTGGAATTAGGAGAACGTGCTCTGTCCAGAGCTGCCCTGGAGCACACGTCCGCTCCTGCTGCAGCCTCAAAGGCTTGAGTGCCTGCCTTACATCCCCTGCACTGGTCAGAGAGAGCACTTCAGCACTTACTATGTAGCAGCTGCTTTGCCAGGTAGGGCATCCATACCTCTCTGAAGCCTTTCTACTACATCTGTCTCTGTATTTCCACCTGATCCTGTTATCCTCTGCATAAGCTTATTGCTTACACTGCCTCAGCATTACAGGATGCTCTCCAAGGTGTCTTTTTACAAGTCGCGTTTCCTTCCTCTATGAGCTGAGACTTGTCAGGTGCTTGCAGAAGGGTCCAACTTTTCTTAATTATCCTAGAAGTTCCCTGATCTCCTTTCCTGGGTAGCCATGATATCCCCTCAGGGATGAAAGGTGTGAAAATCTTTGATTTCAGGGAGCTGCAAGTGCAGCTGACCACTAGTCTGAGCTGGCAATAAACGTGTAACAGAAAGGAGTCTGGAGGATCTGCACAGATTGCTCTTACAGGCACTTCACTTCATTGGAAAAGCACTGAAATCCCCCCAGGTATTCTGAAAGCAGAAATTTCTGTGCAAAATGAAACAAACACCATGCAGAGAGCTTGGAAGGATGTGCACATTAACCTAGCACCACTCTTCATCATCCTCCCAGAAGAAAATCTGGTTTATCTTCAGAGCAAACTCTCCCTCCTCATACAACTGAAAATCTCTGTAAATATCTATGAGGGTGGCCAGGTGGGCACAGAATGCACTGAAGAAAGCAGTTGATATCTTTTTCACTTTTCAGTGATGAGAAAGTGAAGTCTAATGCATAGGGGCCGGAGATTGCAGCAGCCCCAGGACTGGGATGTTCCTGGCTTGAAGCAAACTACTTCCCATTTCCATGTGTTAATACCTATCTCTGAAAGTGAGAATAACAGCACACATTATAGCTTTTAGAGCTTGTAAATTAATGTACATAAACTACAACCGATATATAGGGGAAGCTATATATCTATACAGCTATATTTCTACATAGTTCAATCATACATTTACAAAATTTATCTAGATTTCAATACTTCTGTTTGGTCTTATGATTGTATACCACAGCAGGTAATGCATGTCACTGATTTATAACAAATAATTGATTCAAATAGTTGTGCTGCTTTCTGGTTTGTTGAATAGCAATAAAACCTCCAGACTGACAGCACTTAACACTGAAATAAATCCCCGCTGAAACCATAGCCTGATTATGAAATACATAGTCTGCCCGAGCCAAAACATATACAGAAATGTGGAAAAATTGCCATCCCTTTCTAATGAATTAAAGCTAATAGAAACTTACTATGTAAAACAAGGATGGATTTAGGACTGGGAAAATACAGTGATTTATATAGCACAAAAAATGTCTTTAAGTTACATCCTAACATAAGGATAGCACACTCCATTCACTGAAGCTGGACTTATTTTTTAATATATTTCTTCTT